TGGGAATCCAGACCAACTCGATGGCACTTGGCCAGCCCCAGGCCCAACACAGCCAGGCCTGTCCCCTCAGAGCTGTGGCACGAGCTGGAGACGGGGACACCTTCAGCCCTCCATTCCATGACCCCCTCACCCCCCGCCATGACGATTGACCAAGTCAAGCCAGGGCCCAGCTGGGTCCCGGCTCCCAGCCAGGAAGGAACCCCGATTTGGACACTTAGCCTCCAGAACTGTGAGGAAATGATTTCTGTTCTTCAAAGCCCCCCGCTTGTGGTCTCCGTGTCCCACAGTCCCCCGAGAGTCCTGCGACGAAGGCATTGGGGACTGCCTGCAGACTCAGGAACCCGCTGCCCCTCCATCAGCCCACCCCCAGGTCCACTCAGCAGGGTGTTCTGGGCAGCCTCAGTCCACTGGGAGGCCCCTGCGGGGAGAGGCCTGCTGACCAGTCTTACAAACAGCCCCCGGCCCCATGGAGCAGAGACCCGCTGCACTGCACCCCTGCAGAGATGTTTATTGACAAGTTGTAGCAGCAGGGCCACCAATCCCCTGGACGTGTCCAACCTCTGTGCTCTGAGCCCGTGGCTGGCGCCTGGTGGAGCCCCAGTGAAGGGCAGGGGGTGCCCGGAGAAGGAGCTTTCCTGTCCGTCATCGCAGGGGCCCACTGGGCCATCTTCTAGAACAGCTGGATCATCGACTCCCGGGACTTGCCAACGCCGACCCACTTGACTGAAAGGCAGACCGAGGCATGAGGACAGGTGGGGTTCAGCAGCACAGGGCAGGGGAGGGGGCTTCCCGGAACTCCCGGGACTTCCCTGTCCTTCCCACTCCACTTCCACGGGGTGTTGGAAGGCGCCCACCATGTGCATGGCTAGTCACATGCTCAAAAGCCTGTTTTCAGAGCAGTTTGAAAGACCATCTGTCCCGTCAAAGCGACAGCCCTGGGCTCACGGGCAGCTCTGCTCTGCCCTGCAGCCTCTCTGGGAGTCAGGAGCCGCGGACCTCAGAGCAGGGGGCCTGCGTGTGTGCTGTGGGGCGGGCCGCTTCAATCTGTGCAGAAAAGACCGTGCGCACCCCGCCCCGGTCTTTCCTCTTGTTAACACAGGCCATGGCGAGGGATCCGGGGGGAACTGGTGAGCACCCCTCTGCCAATGCGAAGGTTAGTGTCCCCCGGGATGGGGACACCATCTACTGTTCAAGGACCAGCTCAAGGCGCCCCCCCCCCCCCAGGACACACACAGGGGGCCAGGGCTGGAGGTCGACAGCAAGGAACAGGGTTAAGGCCTCTGGGCTATGCCCCTGTGCACCCACCTGCCACCCCAACGTGGTTCTCCACGAAGCGGACATAGCTCTGGGCCTGGGTGGGGAGGTCCTCCCACTTCCTGGCTGCCGTGGTGTCAGCCTTCCACCCGGGCAGGGTTTCGTACTCCACCTCCACCTTCTGGAGGGTCTCCTGGTTGGCTGGGTGGGCGACACACAGGGTGGGCTGAGGGGCCCCGCCTCTCCTGGCCTCAACCTGGGAGCTGGGGCTGAGGCCTGAGTGTGCCGGAGGGCGGCACCTGCTGAGGGCCAACCGGGAAGGTCAGAGGTCAGAGTTCACTCCAAGTGCCTCAAAAGAGAGGGCTGGGGACCTGCTTCGGGGAGCACTCAGGAGCGTGCAGAGGCCCAGGAGGTGCACTGCGACCCTGAGGCCACCGAGTACTCGGGCCGGGGCTAGTGGCCCAGGCTGGCCCCTCTGAGCCCGCTCTGCTCAGCAGTTGCAGCTCCCCGGAGCCCTGGCCAGGCCCCATCCACAACCACGGTCCTTGGCCGTGGCCCTGATGGATGAAGGCACAGCAGTAGACTCAAGACCGGCTCTGCTCCATGCTGCCTGCTCACGTGACAGACCCCCCCACTCCCACCCCCCCGCGGCCCACCATCCCCGCGCCCCGTGCCTTAGCCTCCACAGATGGCAGCGTGTCTCCTACCTGGGAAGTAAGGAATCCGTTTCCCATTCAGCTTGTAGGAGACGCCCACTTTGATCTCATCCAGGGTGTCCAGGATGTCCAGCTTGGTCAACGCCAACCTGCCCAGCACCAGAGACTGGTGAGAATCCAGCACCTGGGACCCCTCCCTGATCTCCTCCCAGCCCCCTGCATGCACACATGTGCATGCACATGCACACATACACACACACCACACATTCATAGATATACACACATGCCACACACACACATTCACACACACAAACACAACACACGCACTCATAGACAAATACACACATACACATCACACACTCACAGACATACACAAAGACATAGACACAAGTACACACCACACACACTCACCCAATACGTATTCATACACACCACACATACATATACACATATACATACACACCCACACTCTCAAAATACACACAAACACCACACACACACCACACACACTCATAGACATATACACACATCCACACCACAAACTCACAAACACCACACAACCAAACATACACAGACATATATACAAGTACACACCACACACACATACACACACACTCAGACACACACAGACATATACACAAGCACACACCACACACTCACACATGCACACACTCATACCCACATACATTTGCACACTCACACACATACACACTAATACCATACAAACCCACACTCACACACACAGCTGAGTCTGCTGCTTGTCGATCCTAGGGCTGGAGTGGGGGCAGGAAGCGGTAGGAGCCCAAGGAGAGCAGGGCAGGGGGAACATGAGCCCTGGGCCCGAGGGTGGGTGGGCATCAATGGGCAGTTTCAGCCACCACCACCCCCCTTCCCACCTGGCAGTTCAGATGTAATAAGCGCTTGTGCCCTGGAGGCCCCCCTGGTGGGCCAGCTGGCAACCCCAGACATCATGGGGCCGAGCCCACCGTGGGCGAGCCCGTGAGTCCTGGGGCACTTACGCTGTGAAGCCATTGACCATGTGGGCGTATCTGAGGATGACCAGGTCCAGCCAACCACAGCGCCGCTTCCTGCCTGTGGTTACACCCCACTCGTGGCCGCGGTTCTGCAGCAGGTCACCGATCTCCTGCGAAAGGACGCTAGAGCTGGCCTGGCTGCCCTTGGCCAGGCTCTGTGGCCCTCCCCACCCCGTACTGTGCAGGCAGGCCCAGGCGGAGAGAGGCCAGCACGTGGGTGCATGTCGCTGTGCCCCACAGAGCTGGGCACCTTTCCTGCCCTCGGCATCCCCCGCCTGGACTGCCCCCACCTGGGCACCTGGTGGCCATTTCCAGACATCGCCCAGCAGAAAGGGCAGTCTGCTTACCTCCATGGTCATGGAAACGGACTGAGAAGGCCCCAGAGACAGAGGCTACCTGTTTCTGAGGGTGAACTGTGAGGCTCCGAGGCCCTCCTGCGTCCCAGGGCTCCGTCACCCTCTGTGTGTGTGTGCACATCGAGAGCCCAGGGGTGGGAGTCACATAGGTACACATGCATATACACCCGGGTATGTGTGTACATGCAGACACGCGCACGTGTATAATGCACACAGTGCACATACCCACAGAGCACACCCACACTCAAATGCATGCATACGCACTCACACACACATGCCCTGCACACAGCCCCCACTCACATGTATGCACACAAACCTCAACATACACACATGCGCCACATGCACACCCTACACTCACATGCCTGCACACATACAACACCCCATGCACACAACCCCCCAACACACATGCACTGCAATATACTGACAACACATTTATGCGCTACACAGCACACACACAATATACCCCCACAGTACACACATACACATCACACACACGCACTGAAAACACCCCCACAACACACACACACACTGCATACACACCCCACAGCAAACACAGTACACCCCCAACACACATAAACACACTCCATGCACATTCCAAAGCACACACACTGCAAACACCCCACAATGTACACACACACTGCACGCACACTCCACAGTGCACACACACTTCATGCTCAACACACCTGCACTTCGCACACTCAACACGCACACGCACACACACTCATATACATGCACAGATGCTACACCCCCTACAGACACATTCACACACTCATGCACACACATACATGCACTACATGCACCTACACAATGCACATGCACATTACTCCCCTTACACAGAACACACCCACTCACCCATTCATACACACACACTACACCTCCCACACACAGCACACACTCACTCAAATATACACACACTACATACTCCCTCACAGCACACACACACGTATATACACACTACTCCCCCCCCACACACCCCCACACTCATAGGTACACACACACTATATACACCCCACAGCACACACTCACCCACTCATATGTATACACACACTACCCTCCCGCAGCACACCCCCACACACACTCATGTATGCAACACTACACACCCCTACAACACCCCATACTGATATACACACACTACAAACACCCCCACAGCACACTCACACTCATATACACACACTCTATACAACCCACAGCACACACCCGCACATACTCATATACACACACACTACACCCCCCACAGCACACACACTCATATGTACACACACTCCATACAACCCACAGCACACCTACACACACTCATATATACACTATACCCACCCACACACACTCATATACATACACACTACACTCCCCCACAGCACGCACACACACACTCATATATACACACTCCATACACCCCACAGGACCCACCTGCACACGCTCATACATACACTACACCCACACACACTCATATATACACACACTACACCCCCCACAGCACACACACTCATATATACACACACTCCATACAACCCACAGCACACACCTGCACACACTCCTATATACTACACACCCCCCACACATTCATATACACACACAATACACCCCCCCACAGGACACACACTCATATATATACACACTCCATACAACCCACAGTACACACCTGCACACACTCATATATACTACACAAACCCCACACACTCAATACACACACAATACACCCCCCACAGGACACACACTCATATATATACACACACTCCATACAACCCACAGCGCACACCCGCACTCACTCATATACACACTACTGCACACACTCATATATACACCACACACACCACACACTCATATACACACACACTCCACCCCCCACAGCACACACACTCATATACACACACTCCATACAACCGACAGCACACATCCACGCACACTCATATATACATTACACACACTCATATGTACACACACTCCATCCAACCGACAGCACATACCCCACATGCTCATGTACATACACACTACACACACCCTCACAGCACACACACACACACACTCATATGTACACACACACTACATACACTCCCACAGCACATACCCCACACACTCATGTACATATACACTATATTCACCCCCACAGCTCCTCCACACACACATACACACTCATGTACATACACTATACACACCCATAGCACACACCAGCACAGGTGCACAGCCTGCGACCTGTGGTGTAACAGTGACACAAACGCCCCAGCCATCTTGGGGCCCCCACCCCCACCCCCTGGGTGCCAGCTGCTGTCTCTCCTGTCTGCCCCAGCCACATGGTGGCCAGCATGTCTGTGTCCCCCCCCCACTCACATTGATCTGCTCCGTGGGGAAGGCCCCAATGCCCACGCGTGTGGTATATGCCTTCACCACACCATAGACGTCGCCGATGTTCTGGGGGGGCACCCCCAGGCCAGTGCATACGCCCCCCACCGTGCAGTTGGATGACGTCACAAATGGGTAGGTCCCTGCAAGACAGTGGGCCAAGCCCTCAGCAAAGACCAGGCCTGAGGGGCTGTCTTGGGGGAAGGCCCATGTGGGGCCTGGGTGCCATCAGCTGGGATGGTGGGGGACCCCCAGAAATGCTGCATGCCCCCCTCACTCTCCATGGGGTCAGGAGCAGGGGCAGCGTGGCCCCGTGGCTCCAGAGCCATCCTGAGCCAGGCACCCCGCCCTGCTGGCCAGGCGCACCAAAGTCGATGTCGAGCAGGGCAGCGTTGGCCCCCTCCACCAGGATCTTCTTTGGGGGGCCGTGCAGCGCCTCGTACATGAAGTACACGCCGTCTCTCACCATGGGCCGGATCCGCTCTGCAAAGCCCTGCAGGATGTGCCAGTGAGGCTCCAGCCACGGCCCCTCCCCCGCAGCCAGCCTCCCAGAACCTCCCTTCCCTGACCAGCCCCACCCTCCAGGCCTTCTGAGGGCACGTTTCATGGACGCCTGGCCAGGCCAGCAAATCCTGCTTCAGTAGGCGGGACAGGGTCAGCAACTCGCAGGAAGTGGGACGCTGAGGCTCTGCCTCTTCCAGAAGCTTCTGTGCCATCACCGTCCCTGCCCCACCCCACCCCACGTCTCCTGGGCAGTGGCCCCAGAGAGGAAGCAGGAAGCTGCCCTGCCCCTGCTCTCAGGACACTAGGGGAGCCGTGTCCTCGAGAAAGCCACATGAGCCAACCACATGACCCCCAACTCATGGAGACCACACCTGCATCAGCAGGAAAGTGGGCCTCCTGGGGGCTCACTGGGCACTCTCTGGGGGCACACTGGGTGTTTCTGAGGGATCTCTGGGTGTTACTGAGGGACCTCCGTGTTACTGAGGGATCTCTGGGTGTTACTGAGGGATCTCTGGGTGTTACTGAGGGA